TTCCAAATTGCATGGCTGCACCCAATGCAAGTTTACTGCTCGGGACCACCATGGTGGAGAAAGCATGGGTTCAAAGCCTAGAGTTCACAACCTATTTGAAACCCAGTTATTGGGAACCAAGGACGGGTAGCCCGCTAGCCCAGTGGGTACCCGTTAAGAAGCTCATTAGCCTGCCCGTTATCCAATAGAATATACCCGTTGAGCTGACAACTTCCATTTCTTTTTAAAAATTACAGATTCTTCCTGTAAGGACTCTCCCTTAATTTAAAATAAATACAATTTCTCCCACTAATCCAACGGCTAATTCTATTGGGTCTAACGATTGTTTCCATTTTTCAAATAAAATTACAGATTAACTCAAGTATTAATGAAAATGAACTTACAAAAAAAAGATTGGGCACCTGATAGTTCGCCTGAAAAAGATAATTTGATTATATTTCATAGTTGTTTTGTTTATTTGATATTTAATATGTAACTTTTATAAGGTTAAGACTTACAAATGATTGACAATTGTGTAGGTATCAATCTAGTTGGAATGTGTTCAATTTGTAGTGATGCAAAATAGTCTCACTCATCAATCAATTTATAACGTAACATTGTAACTCTATACGAATGTTTGTTAAATTCAATCAATATGAATAATTTTTTTGTTAATTTATTTTTTCATATCAAACTTCGTGTAGTTGGTGTCTTTTTGTAATTTTTATATACAAAATAAATTTTTCGATATCTTTTTGTATTTTCTTACATAAAAAATAATTTTTTAATTAAAAAACCCGTTTTAGGCTCAATGGGCGGTCCATAAGGCCCGATCAGTATTTGGCCTGTTTTTGGCCCAATAGGCCCACCCATGAGTGGGCCCACCCCCGACCACTTGACTAATCAAAGCCCAAAAGGCCCGGCCCACCGATGGACTATGGTCTGAAAAATCCTGGGCTGGCCGGCCCGTTGCCGAGGCCTATTTAGATATGAGATTTGGGGCTTCTGTCAGAATTTTGAAAGTCCCCTTTAAGTTTGAATATTTTATAATTAATTTCAATAGTTATTATTTAGACAATAAAGATTGAAGAAAATTAGACATATCAAATTCATGTAATCCCTACTTTATTGAAAAAACATAATTACTCTTGCACCTATTTTTTTTCTTCTACCAAAGGCCATACTTCTCCAACCAAACTCGTAACCGCCTATACTCGAAACACTTTCATCCTCCCCCGACCTCAGATGTTAACTCTAATTCCCCTGCCCTCTTCCGATAAAAACTCTCTTTGCCCTCTGATGAGGCGCAAAAGTAGACATAGAGGCAATGGTGCATATGGTGTTGTGTAGTTTATTGGTATTGGTCTTGGTTTGAACATATATAATTTTTGTCGTAACTCTTCATTTTCTTTTTTTTAGGGAAAATTTTGAAATCTAAAAAAAAATATGAAAAACAATGTATAAGACGGAGGGTGTCATGGTTCTTTTAGGTGTTCAGTCATTGTTGTTAGTCAATTCAATCTATTTGAAACTTGGAGGGGACAAATTGCAAAATTGAAAACTACAAGAGGTTAATTGCAACATGGGACGTAGTTGGGGAGGAAAATTATAATTAACCCTTAGTGTAGTTTTATTATTTAGGATCGTAGGATACAAAATAATCAGTTGTCAATCATTCCAGTTTTCTCAAATTGTAAACATCACATGTTTTTATTATTTTTAATAACTTTCTTATTATTAGGATTTATGCCATTCTGAAAACCTTTAGATTGGGAATTACAATAAATTGTCCTATATGGTACGAGTTTTGTTTATTAATTAATTTGGTTAGGGTCCCTTATTTGATGTCTAAATTAATTTTAGTCTTACCTGATTTTTAATATATAAAAAAGTTGTTCGTGTTTTTTTAAAAAATTGCATGCAATCCTATGTGAGTTGAACGTATAGAGGTTGGACACTTAGATCGCAACAGTTAAATTTTACGTATCCGTTGATAGGTTTAGATACATGTTCGTTATGATTTACGTAATTTTAAATTGTATTTAATTTTATGTATTTGTGCACCTGTAATGACATATATGTACTTTTTTCTCAATTAAATACTGATGTACCTATTTAATGGATGTATATATTTGTATAATATTCTTGAATAATCATGTATGTTGTTTGTCATATATGATATATTGTGTACATATACAAGCACCTATATTCAATTTCTAATTTTGTTGAAGATGGATACATAACTCTTGTAATAAAAGTTAAGGTATTTGTTTATGTATCTATTGTTCGTTTATATTTGTTTTAACGGTTTGAATACTTATTTTGTTTTTGAGGGGATGGAAGGAACTTTGATTGCAAGTTACGTTTGATTAAGTCACTTTTATTGTTCCTCTCAACGATTGTTGAACATGTGAGGATCTTTGTAATAAGATAACTTCCAAATTTTTCATAGTTAATTAAAGAGACGTCTGTCTACACTTTTCATCTCAATGTATTTGTTCAACAGATACATTGAATTAAACTGTAGATGTATCTTAATGTACATGCAAACCAACAGTTAATGAGTACGTTAATCGAGAATATATTATATTTTTTTAGTGTATCTATCTGACGATCTGTGTGTATAAAAAAATAGGTATATTATGATGACATAGTTTTTTAGAATATGTGTTTCAATAAAGTGATGACATTGTCGTTATTTTTATAATTTTAAAGGACGTTAATTATGTTCATTTACTTTAACTTTTCAATAGGGACTTAATCCAAAAACAAATTGACAATTGAATTTTTTTTTAGAATTCTATTGGGCTTCCAAAAAACTCTTTATTTATTCTATCTATCTACAAATTTAGGATTGTTTGCATGTCTTCAATACATAAAGAAATAGTGATTTCTTTGTGTTCCCGTTACCACTAATCTTTCATATCTTTCGAGAGGGACCCCATTATATGAGCTAAAAAATATCCAACTCTAATTAGATAGATAACAAGATCAATGTTCTAATACCATGTAAAGTACCGTACAACATAATAATCAAAAAAATGTACGGAATTAAGAGTAGTCAATTGCTCTCTTATATGCCTTTGTACATCTACAAGACAAGAATGCACAAATAAATAAGGACTAAAAGAAGATAAATAAGAAAGGAAAATGTAAGGTCAAAATCATGCACAATCAAGGGCGTTTCTTGGGGAGCAATTCTTAGGGCGTAATTCATGAAAGGTTTTTTTCCACGAAACCTTTAAAACACACCTGTCATTTGTTTTACGTTCAAAATTTATTGTCAATAGCATAGATAGGGATTTCCCACAGACACCTAGAACATATGAGTCCAATATAAAAAACAAGGCGATCAAGTGCATGATCTTCCCATTATTGTAGGAGACATATAGTTATGTCTCACATTCCAAATTATATCTGTTTTGGGTATAAATACCTTTATCTTGAAGATTGTTTGAGCTTTTCTTAGCAGACATGAGTTATTTAAACTAACATAATAGTCCATAGATAGAGTATCAGTGCAAATTAGTAAAAGTTCCTTCACATTATAATTTGTACTGACACAACCAAAGTTCATACAAAATAATTCTACAAATTCATGCCAAAAGATATTTGGCTATATTTAAACATGATAAATTCAAAAGCAAGTACAACTTTACACACAAAATCTACTCAAAGGTAAGTAACCAAGCATGCACTTCAAGAGAGTTGTGGAATCAAGTGTTCCCTTTGTCACGTTGTCTTAAGACCTGCAAAATTTAATAGGGTTGAG